GTGTGTGTTTGTGTGTGTGTCTGGGTCTTAAACTCTTACCCTGTTCTCATCATCCACTACCACCAGGTGTCTGAGTCCCAGCGCTCTGAACAGCTTAAACACACGAGGCAGAGACGTTTCCTGCACACAAAGAATGTAATAACCAAACTGGATTTAATGAATCTGACAACACCAATAGAGCAGTCTAAGAAACACTGAACAGTCTCCGCTGCGGAAGTTAAAAACTGCGCCAAATCTGTACTTGAACATCAGTAATGCAAAAATGTGTGTGTGTGTGTTACCTGTGGTACAGTGTAAGGCGTTGGGTTCATGAACTCAGTGAGGTCCATCATACACTCCCTCTCGTCCTGGGAGACGTGGATGCTCTGGATCGGGGGAAAGCGGGGATAGGCGTCCCTGAAGTCCTTCAGCTGGAGCTTCCTTTGGTTCAGCCGGGACCGGGCCAACTCCACAAACACCTGCCGGTCCAGGACAGAGCAGGGACAAACATTGACTGAATCAATTTAAACTCTCACAATAAGGATGTATCTAACAATATTGCAAACATCTGTTTCCTACTGCTGATGTTACCTTGTGCTTGAGAAGAACAATGAGCTGAGAGCGAAGGATGAGGCCGCAGAGCTTCGCTGGCTAAATGTGAGAGACGATATTAATGAAAGAAAAAACTTGTCTACTTACAAGTAAAATCCCTTCTGGTACACTACTATCAGTCTATAATGTTCAGTGCCAAGAGTCGTCCTGGATCTCTAATTTGCTGCAGTATTTTTTAGTATTTCACCATCCTTGTTAAAATGTTTCTCCCCAAACAACTGCTGATTGTTGGTTTAAAAAAAAAAAGGAACTAAAACTGCAAGCTTAATTAAAAAACCAACGCCACCATTTAGTACCTCATCGCTATCAGCAACCTGCACAACAACTGGGAAGCCGTTGTGATTGGTAGATGTGTTGCTAAGGACGTCCACGATGGTTCCCACCTTCTCTATCCTGTTCAAACAGGTGACCGGAGAACTCATCACCTCTCTGGATGTAAGTAATGAAAGAATGAGAAAAAGTAGAGAGTGAGAAAGTGCCAGATCTAAAATCTAAAATCAGAGTTCACCAAGATCTTTAGAAGAAGGAATGTAGGTTTCTACATAACACTGAACACACAAAGTAAACACCACACCAACTCTCTCAGGTCCTTCAATGTTTTGGATATAATTTAACAATCTCTCTCAGCCATCGACAGAAAGGATGTTACCTGGCGTTCAGCCAGTGGGAGGTGGCAGGAGCCTCCCAGTGCAGGAAGGGAACACTCTGCAGCTTGATGTGGACATCATACAGGCCCTGGAACAGAAAGGGACAGGTTACAGACACCGTGTCCCAATCCCATCCAACATGCTAACTGTATACAGTATGCACTTTATACTTATCTCTATAGTATACAAAGAAATGTACATACTTGATTTGTTACTCAAAACATGTTGAGAATTAGTGTGTTAGTATGTATTTGGGACACAACTACATTGTGTTTGTGTCTCTATACTGTCCTCTGCAGTGAGTCTGTTGTATTTAATTCTGAGGTGAGGGATACTATAATAAGGATTTATTACATCAGCCAATGAGACACAGAGGGAGACAGGAACACTGTGTATGTCTGTACTTCTTAACTCACCTCTACAAAGTAGTCTCCTACTATCTTGGCAGTCATGAGGACGAGCATGATGGGAAGGCCGTACGTGACATTTCCTGTAGCTTCCACCATGATGACAGTCAAGCTGAGAGTCATCCTCACAATGCCACCTGTAGAGAACAGTGCAGTATTACTGGTACTATACTTCCATCTTTGTGAGTATTTGACAGAATATGGGTTATGCATGTGTCACTGTGATTGGTCAGAAAATATGGTCTATTTATAATCTTCCTGTAAAGCACTAAAAACTGAAAAAAAGTCTTAACATTACTCACCTAACTGAGCTGCAGCTCCAATCAGGGCATATTTACCAGGGTCAGCCCAGATCTGACAAAACAACATAGACAGTGAAGTCAAACAGTAAGTCATAACATCTGGAATATTAATTTAGACCTCTACTCACCAATTCATTACGAAAAATATAGCAGTCTCAGTCACTAAAAGGTCAAACCAAATGCCAATGTTGGCATCAGGAGTTTAAAGAAATGTGGACTTAAATTTGAGAAACCACACTGGCATGAGAGAGAAACTACAAACTATTTTAATCATCGTCTTGTTCAGGTAATTAAGGCATCCTCAAAAAGATCCAAACTATGACTATATCATCATAGGTTAAACTGAAAGTTGTCTTGTCCTCATCCTACAGAGCGAAGCATAATGCACACACACTAACCGTGGCATTGGAGGTGATGGAGGACAGCAGTATTCCAAACAGTCTTCCCCAGGCTGCTCCTATTAGCAGAGAGGGGATGAAGACTCCAGCAGACACTGCCAGGCCGTAGGTCCAACACGCCAGGAAGAAGTAGGTCAGAGTAAACAAACCCAGGGTCAAAGGATTGTAGGATCCTTTAAGAAAGAGAGGAATGAGAAGATGAGCACAATAATGCTTCCTGTTTTATTCATCATGATGCCATTTCCCTCCCGTATACAAAGTAAAGGAAGAAAAAAATGGCTGATGCACAGTTTGTACATAAGTATTTTAGAAGATTTCCCATAAGAAACAGCTTTACCTGGCTGGTTGTGGAAGAGACTACGAACACTTCTCTCAGGAGTGTTGAAGAAGGCTGTTGCCATGGAGTTATATTCCCCATCCGCACAGAACAACTTAGAGAGAGAAAGAAAATGTTAAGAGTGCCACAACAAGAGAAAGAAGAGGAGACACAAAGAGCCTTTTTTTCTGTTTTTGTGTCTGTGTTGAAGCTTCTACAGGCTATCTGCCAGATGACACACAATTCTAAAACAAAGGGCATTAGGACAGAGAAAAGTCGAAGACTGATCGTCACCCATCTGGTGTTGTGTTGGATCAGTGGTCCAAAGTGCATTAAATGTAAGGAATCACCAAAGTTATTATTCTTCATCCTGCGGGGAGCATGAATGTGTGTACCAAAAATAAATGGCAATCCATCCAGTTATTGTTGAGATGTGTCAGTCACAAATGTGAACCTCATGATGGCGCAAAGTCAGGAGGATCATCCACGGGGGACCATGAATGTCAAATGTGTTCCTTCTGAGATCTTTTGGCAATATTGTTCTCACGACATTAATGCTGGTAAAGAATACTGAACTGAAACTGTGGTGTGTGGTAGAACATAAGAGATACCAATATTCACAGTGAAAATGACATATCCTCTTATCTAAATCTGCACGTGTCAATCTAATTTGCTAAAGTCATGCACATCTAAGTGTTAAAACAATGCATGACTGTGCTTTCGACTTCCCATCGTCTCTCATCGTCTAAACCAAGAAAAGTCAGCAAGAGATTGTTTTTGTGTGTGTTCTGTGTGTGTACCTGCAGTGGGTACTCCTCATTGTGCTCAGGTCCCAGAGGCTGACAGTCATTAGAGAAGTAGATCATGGTGAATGACACTGTTGCGGTCACTGCAGCCACCAACATGGCTTCCATCACTTGCAAACAAGGGCGATGAACATACCTGTAAAAGAGATACACACACACAGACACACACACACACAATGGCTTTAATGAACCAGAAAAAATGTTTGTGCCCATTTGTCTGCCTCAGTACGGACTTTCCTAAGTGACAAGGAAACTCTGGGTGCAATGAAAACAAAGCTTATCTGCCATTTTGTGCCTTTAGGCGATGTGGCTGTATTTAAATGTCAAGTAGAATCAATTATTATTATGAAATGTGATGGAAATAGAGAATTTATCTTTACACTCACTCACTGTGTCAGATGACAGAGTATTTTTAGAAGCAGGCCAGACAGGCACTAAATATAATATACTGAGCAAATACTTTTTAATGATTGCCAGATGAAGAGATGAGTGCCATTTTATTTACTGAGAGTTATGCAGACCAAAGTTACACAAACACAAAGCAGGAACTGTCATAAATCTGACAGAGTGGCTTATCTTACAAGTTAATACACTTATATAACTTAGTTCATGGTTCACAGACTTGGTACATAATCTTGTAAAAATATATTCAGATATTGGCAAATTATGGCTACAGCTACTAAATAAAAGGCAAACTAAGTGGGACTTTTTCATTCTGCTTGTAAACACACCATTAAATGTATATACATATATATAAAGCTTTAGTAGTAAAGCTTTTTAGGTGACTTCAGAAAGCCACCATTGTAATTTCACGACGTACCTAAATACACACAAACACAACAATCATATTCAGATATATTCATAACAATAATAATATAATTATAATATTATAAATATATATATAATTATAAATAATATAATTAACACAGAGCATCTAATGCTGGTAAGATTGCAACTGAGTCCAGACAAGGAAGCAGTAACCAGCTTATCTTCGCTGAAGTCTCCTCCCAGTGACCGTACCTGTTCCTATTCTATTATTAAACACATCAATCATAAGACACTGTCACTCTAAGAAACTGTTTTAAGCGCTAATCTGAAAACCTCCTCATGTTGGACTCCACCCTGTTTGACAGGCGACAGCAAAGCCTCCATGCTACCATGTGTTGTTTTTCTTAGCACACTACACATACTAAGCAATCTTTTATATGTCACCTGAGCCTTTGTTAAAACTTCCTCAAGTTGATAAATTGTTCCTTTTTACAGCATTTGATCCCTGTCTTAACATTACCTGATCCTGAAGATGGTCAGCCAGTAATTGAGAACGTTGAACAGAGCTCCCAGAAGTCCACCTGCACAGGAGAGGGATGAAAAACAAAAAATAAAAACACACGGGCTATGATTATGAAACTTGTCGTCATGTGCACCCAGTGAGGAATTGAACATATTTTCCCAAAACATAAAAAAGTTTTTACCTATAGCTCCCATAATGATGAACAAGGGAATCTCATAGAGGTTATACGCCACACTCTGAAAAAGGATTACATCATGTCATCTTTTACACTAACAAACAACATAAAGCTGGAAAAATGCATGATGTATCTGCTATATATACATATATATAAGTTTCTCACATCACTCTCAAAGCGTCCAAAGTTGATAAGACCTGGGCTGGAGAGGTCTCCTGGTTTGTTGTGATAGATACTGAGGAAGAAGTTTAGGGTGAAGGTCGAGATCATAGAGGCAAAGAACTGGAGATAAGAAAGAAAGAAGGAGGATGATGATGATTAAATTAAGAACAACATTTGCCATCCTCATCCATCTACCTTGACAGCACTACACAATCATTACTAAGGAGTTTACGATGGGGGTGCACAGAGAACAACGTGACTTACTATCCTCCACGTCAGCATCTGGTTCCAGAAAGAAGCTCCCTCCTCTAGAGAGAACAGAACGCCGCCTGTCGCCCAGAGAGACAAAATCACAGTGAAGAACCACGGCAGCATTTAGATAGTAACTAATCCCTATGATGCACTTGTGCAATGATGAGCATCCATTCTCTGATGTGAAGAGTTTAAGTCGATGAAAGGTTAGCTGGTATTATCACAAGGCATCCGCCACGCAATGTGTTGATTGATTAGCGCGCAGTAGGAGCAGAACATTTACTGGGTTCACATAAGTTAAACTGCAAACATTCCTGTCATTTCCCCTGCAGCTTTACCATCACAACAAGCAGCCATCGACAACCTAGTTCCAGTATGTCAGGTGATGGCAGGCTTTCTGCAGCATTCAGCAAATTAAATCTAAGACTGTTTTAATACCGTTTTAATACTACATAGAATGCAATTTAGTATAGAGTATATGAGAGTATGACGGAAAACCAGTAGGGGTCATGTTGCCTATGATTTTTTATTATTATATCACATTTTCAGTTCTTCATAGTATTATATAATAAACATTTCTAATGATAAAATTAAGAAATATGAATGCAAACTGGACCCACATAAACGGCATAAAATGAATGGATGATTAATTCATTCAGGTTTTTGCTGAAATCAACACTTATAGTGTTACCGTAGCTAGCAGTATGGACAGTGTTTTCTTTGTTTGTCTTGGGTTCTGTTTCTTTCTCAACTTCTGCTTTGACTTGTCTGACAGACAAGATGGTACAAGTCACAATCTTGTACCATCAAGAATCATCACAATGAAACTGCAGAGTGACAGTATATTGCTATTCCTATCCCTTGGAGAACAAGCGTCATAGAGGGAATTTCCTCACAGGTTTTTTTGTCTTTAGTTTGGGCGTGCAGTCATATTGTTGGACTCCTGGCTTTATAGCAGCTAAACCGCCCACAGAACTAAGGCAACTTAACAATAAAGTAAGGTTGCTTTTTACCGACTGGTGCTCCAAAAGCAGCTGAGACTCCGGCAGCAGCTCCAGCAGACACAAAGTCCCGTTTTTCTGTGTCTCTCCGAAAGTATTCAAAGATCTTCAAACAAACACATTTATTACTAGTTATACAATTGCTCACAAATGCACTCTAATGTACACACTTTAAAAACATATCTGTGCACAGCCATGCCTGACCAACGAACGGTAATATCCAATGTTTCTTACTGATGTTAAGTAGCCTGAAAGACACACACACACACACACACAGAGACACAGACAGACAGACAGACAGGTACACTGTAACCACAGACAGACAGACAGACAGACAGACAGACAGACACTGACCTTGAAGTCTCGCTTTAAAGAGGTGCTCCTGCCCTGGGAGACTCCTGCAGCTACAACAGCACCAGAGTGAATCATGGGCCCTTCCTAAAAGAATTGTGGGTAAACAGGAGGACAGGTATGAAAGAGACTTCTTGACAGGACTTATATATACAGAGTCAGTCTGTACGACCTTAAAGGTAAACTATCATCAATCATCAATATCAATTTAAACCACATTTCACGTTTACCTTTCCCACAGCAAGACCGCCAACCACGGAGCAGATAACACCGCACACTTTCACCACCAGTGTCTGTGGAGGGCAAACACAACATGTTAAGGACACAAAAGTCCTTTCTATTCAATAAAAGTTCAATTACTTTCATTCATGTATGCATGTGTGTGTTTTATGTGTGTACCTTGAGTCGCACCACCCTGGGAATCTTGATTCCATTCAGGTAGCATTTTATCTGAGGAATACCACTTCCTGCTGCTATGGGCTGGATGAGACAAAGGGGGAGGATGTGGGGGGTTAAAGAGGGGCAGGATGGAACATTGAAAGGAAAGATGGAAAGCGTAAAATATAGAGAGTACAGTATTTATTACAGGAGCCATAGCTGAGGATGTGACGAGAGAATAGTGGTGGCGTTAAAATATTCATAATACTATTAGAAACAATCACTTGCCAGTAATCTCATGAAATGGCATTCACAGCTGACATACTGTAGCAAACTTTGTGGGAATAAAAATCACAACTGAAGCACTTCTTTCATTAGTGTGGTTGCAGGGGGAAAGTTAATGTTACTTAAAAAACCTCAACAAGTCCCTGTTGAGCAACTGATACACTGTGTCTAACCAAAGTGACAGGAATAGAGAAGCACATTCATCTTGACAAATTTTCAATATTACGCACTGCTGGACTCTAACTGGTGCAGTTATACAATTGCCTAAGTAGTTTTCACTTCCACATGCGAATTGAATGGTTTGTAATTCTGATAAGAAACACTTTTATGACATACTTCTTCTAAATCCAGGGTCACACACTCGAGGAACACACAAAAGAGGAAGACATCTATAATACAGACAGGAAGTTGTGATATTTCCAAAAGGTCACATTGTTTCCTTATCCTCCTACCTCAAAATATGCAACTATGATAGCCCCGACCATGACAAAGGCGGAGTTGAAGACGGCCCAGAGGATGAGGGAGATCGACAGGCCGCCCGCCTCAGTGAACTTCTCTATGTCTGTGAGGGGTCAGAGGTCAAGGAAAGATCTCCAGGTTCTTAGAGCATTACGCTGGAATTAGCCACATTACACTGTTTAGCAGCTACGTATGATGTTTACTTGCTTATGAACAACAAATTTAAAGACACAAGGTGAAGACACTAACGTCATTTACATGATAGATATGACCGGAAGGATGAATAACCATAACACACACTTTGAGACATAATAACATAGCTAGTCTTTTCTAACAACATATATATACTAACACAGCGATTCTTCCAGTCACTGCTCTGTCTCTCTGTACTGTCGTCTGAGTAGGTGTATCTTGGTGTACAAATCTTTAGGATACTCAGTTTGACCACTTGGTATTTGATCCCAGCCAGTTCCTCCACGACAATGTCGATGAAACAGGCGATGAGGCCGGTTAGAAAGCCAATTAGACCACAGACCACCCAGCGACTGATCTCTAGGCAGCGGAAACCCTAAAAGTCCAAGGTGAGAGAGGGAAGGGAGAGGAGGACAGGAGAAACAGGACAAAAGCAGGGAGGGTGAAACAAACAGAAAAAAATACATGATTTTATACACAGTAAAATATTGAGGAAGTATAACACATATTCACGTGATTTCCACTTCACTTACCATGTAGCTCATCCTCCTTTCCTCCTCCAGAAACAGCTGGTTCTCAATATTATCATAGTCCAGACTCTGGAATAACGTAAGTAAATACAATAAATCAGTAACATAAAGATAAATGCGATGATGTTTACTTCTATTCTTCAATGCTTCATGATAAACACAGATCCTCAAAATTTAACAAAACCTAACATGTGTGCATACACTTTTTATTAGATCAAAGTCAGCAATTTCATAGCAAACCAAAAATATGTGAATACAAAGCTGATTTTATCGATTGTTGCCAATTTCCAGCCTGCTTAAGGAGATTATTGCCCTCTGTGTGCACAACATGCTTCATGTACTCAAGTCCATTTTCTAAACCGGTGTTACTGACTCATTTTACTATAATTTCCTCTATTTAGCAATACCAGTCTTTTTTTTAAAACTCCTACAGGGACTCACAGAAATATTAACGTTTCTAATTCTTTACACACACTTGCAGTAGGGGGTTTTACTCGTTTAATGATCTAATGATCAGCACTCAGTTACCTCAAATTTAAGCGACAGCAGCTTCTCATTATGAGGAATCTCTTTAGGCCGACCCCTAAGAGAGTCCTGCAGGGGAAAACACAGAAAAAAACAAAGGTCACCACACCATCACTGACCCACAACCTCTGACCTGTGCAGTCATGTGAGGGACTACACGGAGCTAGGAACTGAGAAATCAGACATTTTGGATCAACAGCAGTGAGCACAGCAGTGTTTCACAAGCATTTGAAACAACATGAGAAAGCATTTTTTTTTAATCTAAGTTTGACTTAGATTTTTATCTAACTCAGATACTGGAGCATTGATAATGATGCGGCCGGAAGATGCAGTGACTGTGAAAAGAAACGCACCAGTGTTTCCTCCAGAACATTTAGCATAAAATAGCCGAAGCTAAGATTCTTGGCGTTGTGTTTTTCCAATGGTAATGCAGACTATTTAGTGTTGAAGGAAAGACTGGTGCAAAAGAGTGCATTCTGACATACATACAAGCCGGCTACAGGCAATTCAAAAGAACTCCATTTCACACTTGCATGCAATGTTAAG